TTGACAGCAGTTGAAGAGACAAGTACTTTCGGACTTGAGTGACACACAAACCACAGTGCCCAGCTCATTGGACTTTTGTGGATCTGTCTTCTCAATGAATGAATGAATGCTTGTCTTGGATTTCCTAGAGGAAAATTGTTTCACGGTGCAATTCAAATAATGAGGTTCCATGAAAGAGCAATTAAAAAGCATTGTGGTAGTGGCAGAATTCTCTACAGTGAAATTAAAGTGTGACTGATGTTCAGAGAAGCCCAAGTCTTGCAATCCATGGTTTTTCAGGACAGCCAGGCTTCTTAAGTTTATATTCCAAGCAAACAAGAAACATAATCCCATGTTGTGATCAACCTGGCTACTGCAAAGCTGACATGTACCCAAAAACTGGATTTCATCAAAGTTGTTGAATATAAAATTCAAGTCAAAATGTGAAAGCATTCAGCCCCTTACCTACACAGTAAATTATCGAAAAAAATCCTTCTTATTTTCTTCCTTTTTAATCCCTGAAGGTACATTACTTTATGCCATATGTTATATTAGCATATCCAGTTCTTGTTTTACCGAAGACTGTGAGTGTCTGCACAGTGTGCACCATAGATCTCACCTACCTGGGACAGAAGTGAATTGGAAGGAAAGTCAGCAACAAAGGATGTAACAATAATGGCTTGCATTAAGGAGGTTTGTGGAGATGAGTTTGCCAGTGGTGTGTATGACAAAAGCTGAGCTGTTACAATGAACTTAATAACCATAAGACTGATTTTATGCTTTATACTGCATGGAAACTATTTTAAGAAGAAACTAGCAATTTATCACAGCATATCAGGAAAACAAAACCCTAACACAGTGACTTCTGTTTATTTTTATAGGTTCCTTATATTATGTTTCTCAGAGTGTAAACAGGAAACAAGCAAACTAAAACACAGTTTCTGTTTTGGTCACTTTCCATGCTTGAACAGGCATTCCGCTAGTGTTTATTCTTTAAGCACTCTCAAGGGGAAAAAAATGCCTTTTATTTTTATAAGATTAAAAAAACTCCCAAAAATATTTTGCACTGAATGAACCAAAGTCGAAGGGACATTATGATCTGACTAATAGCAAACTGCATCACTATCAAGTATCTATAAAACCACTTAGGGAACCAGGCTTTCTTCACGGTGCCATGTCTATAGATATCAGGACTGTGCACATAAGTAATAATTTTATAATACTATATTGATATTGTAATATGCATTTATTTTAAATGCATCTGGGTCATTTTTCATGCATTGGATAACTGAATGCAGTGGAGTTTAATACAGATCTTTCATATGCTCCCCACTTTTTATTTGTACAGCACCATAAAACACTAGCTCATTTGGAAACCCGTGAGTAACCTACTTTAAGGTGAGCCGCTGGTCATAATGCCACTGTCCCATATTAGTGAACACCTACAAGATGTAAACTGTTCATAGTGTCTAAGCTTGCATTTTCACTGGTAAATAGTCTTCTTATCAGACGCTATTTGAAAGAGTTTTTATGGCATATCAAACACTGCATGGACACCAGTTTCTTTATTCTTAATTTTGCTGAAATACATGAGCTTGCTTGCATCTGTTTTTGGTACTTTCCTCCAGATGGTCTTACAGAACACTTGTGCAGCTGCACGCTGTTTCTTGTACAGCTTCTGTCATGCAGTGCATCCACCACCATTTAAAATCCCAGGAAGCTGCACTTGGATGCTGGATGACAAGAACATGCATCTAGCTTTGCGCTAGTCCTCTCTTGACAGCACTGAAGCACAGCAAGCCTTGTTCTGTGGGGAAAGTAGCGTTTGAAGTAATGTTCTCACTTTGGAGACTCTTGAAAGGGCATCTCAGGGAGGTATCCTGCTTGTTCTTGTGGGAGTTGTTTTCCAGTGGAGGTGAGCGTCTATGGAGATGTCATCAGCAAAGACTGCCACTGCATGCTCCAGGTCAGAAGGCAAGTGCAGCTGTGGTGGTGACTGAGAAAACCCTTCAGGCTTACTGTGAAGATGTTACCTGTGAGAAGGAAAACCCATTTGCAAAATCTTTTCTTTGGGAATAATTGAGCTTCTGCATGACATCTGGGACTCGCTTCAGTAACAGGTTTTCTTATGCTACTTTTGGCTTGTATGAAGTGTCAAAGCAAAATCCAAACATGTCACCTTATTTTTACACATGTATTTATCAGTCTTTGCTAAGATTGCATGTCATAGATCTTAATGCACATCTTTTTTCAGAACACCAACGAGCAGTAGGCAAACTGACTTTTCATCAGGTCACTCCAGCATGGCTCATGTTTCATATGGTCCGTTCACTGAGTAGCTAAAACTCGGGCACTCGAAGCAGAATGCAGCTTTGGATTGGTTGAAGGACTGCAGAATTCTGATTTTACAATACTGTGTTACCTGTGGTCTAAAAAGGAGATTTCCCAGGTGGAAACTGTATCTACAAGTTTTGAACCAGAAACTCTTTGGAATGAAAAGTTTAAATATTTGGCACAAAGTAAGTTTATACTAGTCTGCCTTTTAAGTTATGCTTTTGTACAAAACTAAAACAATAAATGCATCTTGACAATTTTTATTTAAATACATCTACTGCACACATTTGTTTCTGTATTTATGCATGTAACAATAATGGAAATCAACCATGATGATCCGCAATTCTGTAAGGATGTGACAGGGTCACCAGTGGGGCAGCCATCAGTTAAAAAAGAAATATATATATATATATATATATAAAGATAAATAAAATCCAGAGCCCTTGTAGCATTAAGACCAAGAGAGACTGGGTAGCAACTGCTGCTTCCTCCTTTGCTGCCAACATCACCTGGGGGACTCCAGCAAAAGGCAATTCGGAAGTGTTGAGTTAGCTGCCCAGGTACGGCTGCCTGGGGTGCCTCAAGCACTTGGTTGGCTCTTTGTGATGATACAAGCCGTGTTGCTGCTCTGAAGAGATTAGCAGAAAGGGAGTATAGGAAAGGAAGCCTGAGTCTACTCAAACACCCATGTCTCCTGGCTACTGCTTAGCATATTCTTTCAGTGTGGGAGGCCGTTCCCATTAAATGTGTCCCTACTTAACCTGCAGCACCTCCATCAGACAGAGTCTGGCTGGGGGTGTCCCCATGTGGTACCCATTTTTCCTGCTCTGCTGGGGAGTGGAGCCATGCGCTGCTAGCCAAAAAGCAGCTAGCAGGTCCCTGCAGCCTATGGCAACTTCAAGTGGCCTCTGTCCCTGACACTTCAGAGCCAGGCCCACCTTTTCCCAGGTTCCAGCATCCCAGCCAAGCAAAGGTATGCTAGCAGTCAATTTAACCATATCACTCCTAAATACACTGGAAAAGCTTGTAATCAATGAAATTACGCAGTGCGGGGCTTACTGTAGCTGGCAGTTACCCATTCAGAATCTGCAAGCCAGCAGCAGTTAGGGTACCACTGCTTTTGCCCACAGCAAGTAGGAGATGGCCATCTGCTACCTGTCACTCTATCAGCAGCACCTTGCAGGGTAACGCAGGAAAGGTTTCTTTTGATTCAAACTAAACTCCCATGTAACACACAGTCCTGCTCACCAGAAGTAAAGCTATTCTCTTCCCCTCCCCCCCCCCCGCCTGCTGTTCTTCCTCAGTATTCATCAAATAATTGTCTTTTTTGCTTTTAAACACAGTTTTCATTACCCTTGTAGTGAAGCTACCATAAAAAGGTGTTACTATGGCTTAGAGAGCATCTAGGGTGAAAGCCGTCTGTGTACACAGGCCTGCTGGGCACCACATATACTCCACATTGAAGCAGTTAATCTCAGGTCATGCAGAGTATGGTGATTACATGTAATCTTGGGGGAAACTGAAAATCTAGGCAGCAGTGTGCTGGCAGGACATCAGACAAAGTTTCTGGCATGAGTTAAACTGGCAGAGCACTGGACTGGTAGTTTGCTCAGTTTAAAATTATAGGAAAGAAAAGAGTTTTGTGGTTTCTGATGTATTTTTAATCCCTTTAAAAGTAGTTAGAGAAAAAAAAAAACTTCCCTCTGTCATATGGTATCATCTGATTGCTAAATGTAATCTCAGCAGTATTCATTGCAGATGTTTGCTGAGTTTCTGCAGTGGTAGCTGCAGAGATTTATGGAGATACTTGCAAGCACATGGTCTCTGGACTGAGGGAATTCTATTCTCAAAAGAGTAATCTGTGGCAGCCAGCCATTTTCTTTTCCCATAGCATAAAGCAAGTTAATTCTTTCTCAGCAAATGAAACTGATTTGTTTTAAATTATACTAGTAGTTATGTTTTTCTTGCCATTGTTTTTATGTGGAAAGGTACTTTATTCCTGTTAGCATTAATGGGAATTGAGTAGTTTGGTCTCCAGTCATAAGATTACAGAGTCAGCTTTAACGATAACCTTACAGTATTAATACTCAAGCAGCATGCCTGTTTCCCCTTCTCATTCTTTCCTCCCTAGGCAAGCAAATTGAACTCCCAATAAATTTCTCCATAATCACTCAAACCTGGCTTCTTAAATAATTTGCATTTCAGCTCAATACTGCGGTCTGAAACAGAACAGCAGAAATGACCTGGGTTGACTGGCTTACCAATTGCAAGTAAAAAAATCCTGTATCATTTTATTAGCACAACCACAATGGCTGCTGTTGGACTAGGCTGACCTTTGGCCTAAGTATTTTACAATAAAAGAAGAGTTTAGGAGGTTGATTTTGAAATTGCTTGTTTGCTGGAAAAATAATCGTACATTGGGTAAATAGTAAGGGAAAAGAAGAACTTTATTGTAAAGCCAGTGAGGCTAAAAGCCTTTTTACAATGCATTTTTTAGGAGTATGCAAAACTACAAAGCTGACCATAAAATCACAGTTTTCACAGTGTGCATTGGGTTATGTTTTGCATCTCTTTAAAAAAGACCACAAACTTCAGAGTTCTGTTCAGTTTCAGACTACTCTTATTTAGAGTGCTCATTGCTAAGAGGTTTTTATTCAAATATTTCTAGTATTTGCTAAAATAAGGTATTGTTCAGGTTGAAACTTCATTTAGGGCTCTGCAGCATAGACTTTGCTCAGTCATGTTATGCCATAGCTGTTTTAAGGTAAACTCGTGATTAATTTGTTCTACTGAATATCAGTGACATTATAATGACCACCTGGTGACTGCTTAGAAAGGCTTCTCCTCACTGTAGGTAAAAGGATGACAGTCAAGGACTTCTCTGGAATGGTTACAATCCATTGTAGTGTCTGTATGTATTCAGACTGCAGCTAAAATATCTCCTGCGGACTATGTGAAGTAATTAGTAATAATTGATTTGCCCCCTTTAAAATCTTTAATAATTGGAATTTTGACCATGTTTTTTTATGTCCCAAATGCAGTCAGATTACATGCCAGAATGGTAATAACAAAAATTTAACTACAGATGTATTCTGACAGGTTTCTTAGTTATGGTGAATCTGAAAGGGAGCCGAGTGATGCTTCTTTCAATCCTCCCTGCTTTAAACTTCCGAATAATGAAACTTGTATTTTGGTTTTCAGTTGTTTCTTTTTCAGAGCTTTCGGAGACTTTTCAGTCAGGCCCTACTAGAAAAAGCCTTGTCTACTCAGAGGGCTTTTGCTGAGCACTCAGGAGGTACATTGTTCCACTAATTTAACATAGTTTTGTGCTGACATCAATGTAATCAGCTTTTCAATGCACAGAACTCCACAAGACTCTGGTCTCCCTTACTGTGGGCTACCTTCCAAAGGCTGCCTGTCCTCTCCTGTTTAATTGCACATAATCCTAAAATCACCCAGAGACAATTGCTGACCACCTATCCTGATTGCAGCTGTAGTAGCAGAGTAAGATTGTGGGTTTGCTTATTTTTTTCATCAAGAATTAAACTGATCTCCTTTGGAACAAAAGCAACTCCCTTCAGTGCCGAAAGTCTATAGGATCACTGTTACATTTAGATTGTGAGTAGTTTAAGAAAAATAGTCACAAGTTTTTGGAAACCGGTTGATCAGGTATCCAAGGGTAGAATGTCCTTTGAGTTTGGTTTTGTACAACTCATAGTGAGGCAGGGGGTTTTTCTTGCAGTGATTTCTGTACCAGAATTTGTGAGCTCCCATGGGCTACTTCAGGCTGCTGGCTGAGAGGGTGAGAAGCTCTTGCAGTGAAGCAGGTGAGTGCTGATCCAGAAATCATGTCAGCACATGATTTATTGCCTTTGCCTGCTACAGATGGAGGCTTTGTCAATACAGACCCTGAGCTGGTTACTTCCAAAAGCTCATTCGTATCTGCATTGCCTGCTAATTGCAACACAAGCATGTCATTACATACTCCATCGGCTATTTGGCATCTCTCATTTAAAATGAGAATTACAATTTTTACACTTAGAAATATTCATCTGGAAGTATAAAGTGGGTCAATAGAAGATTTTGCTGAGACATCATATTTGATTGCCATGTTGACTTCAGTCGAACATTGGACCTGACTAATTTTACAATAGATTACTGTATGCAAATAACTCTCTAAAGCCTTGTAAATTATGCTAAGGAGGGAATGTAATTGTAGGTGCTGTAATGATAAGATACGACAGTTCCACACAGCAGATAAAGCATACAAAATTTAACCATGGAATAGTGCTGGAGTGAAGACAAGGGTGAAAGAATAGGGACAGAAAAAGGACTGCACTTGCAAACAGTGAGCAGGACAGCGAGCTGTGCTGACCACTGGGTATACAGAAGGCAATACTTTTTGCTTGAAAACTGGGCTATGATAATGTACCCAGGCAAAATGACTATGCATCCTGAAATACATTAGTGTTAGTGCAACTGCAAGACATTTTCCCTAATTATTAGGTTTTGACAATCCAAAATATACAATCAGAAAACTTGTTTTTTTCTTGTTCTGTTGAGTTTGGGTGTGTTTGTGGGGGTTTTTTGTTCATTTGTTCAGTTTTTTATTTTGACAACTGTTAGGAAATGAAGGCTTATAAACAAAGTAAGGGTGGTGTCTGGAAGTCCTCTTAACTCTTATTGTTTGTACAAATAATTGTGTTTATTACTAGCTGCATTTGGCAAGAGAAATTGCATATGATAAGAAGTTAAATCATTGCTACCAAGGGTAACTTGCATTTTAAATGTGATGGGCCAAATTCCTAACATTTAGATATGTAAAAATATAAGGAGAGGGAGGAATAGGCAGTGTTTTTGGTTGGGATTTTTCTGGTTGAGGTCTGCATTATGGTTGTGGAAGAACCATGAATTTCCACCAAGAGAGGGATTGAAATGACATTTCTAAAGCTTATTTAAGGTAATTCAAGTATTCTTGATGAGCTAGTCAGCTTTGGCCAAACTGATGTTTTGACTCCATTCACACTCTGATAAGATTATCAGAATAAATACTGTGTAAGAGGGTTGGAAGATTCCAGGATCTGTTTCTTTACCTAAAAGCTGACCTGGTTCTTTACCTGAAAGTTAAGACTATTGGATAAGTCAATATAAAAGCCTAAAGAAGAATTCCTTGCAAGTATTCTTCTTCAACATGGCAACTGAGGTGGTAAGAGCTTTAGATAAACCTTGTCCTGAATGAGAAGACAACTGGTACATTGGACCATAATGGTTCAATAGATCCATACAGCAGGACATTTTTCTGCAATGAGTCTGCAACACTCAGGAGACTGCTGTTACTTATCAGCATTGCAGGGAGGAAGAAGAATTACATAATAACAAGTACATAAATCATCTTAGGAGGATGCTTATTCTTTGTACTGTTTTTCCTTGGAGTGACATAGCCTTGGAGGCATCTATGAATCCTGATCAGCAAGGCTGCTTTTTGTCTAAGTGACTGAACACTTGTAAGGGCTATACAGTATGGAAAGAGAAAACTTTAAAGAGGGATGGGGTTTGGAATACTGTTGCCCCCAAGTCAGTCGATATTCTTGCCCTTTCTAGGATACAGTTTGGGTTATTCAGCGCGTTTGAAAGCTCATACAGTTTTACAAGTTTTTGTAGTGGGGATGCAGGCATCCAGAATCTAACAGGTATATAGGTGCATCTCCCTCATTTTTGACAATTACTTGATATAATTTTGTAACAAGTTCTTTGTTTTTAAAGAATTTCAAGCACTGAGAATACAGAGTGCATATTTATTTCTAAGCTTTAAGTAGAACACGTGGTGTATTTTTTAATCCTTTCCATATGTTTCAGTTAAGTGTTCACAAGACTGTATATCAGATACAATACCAAGTTTTTCTATCTTTCTACAAGCCAGTTTAAGTTTCATTTGAATTTGGTATATATATGTCTTTCACAGAACACTAAATGGGGAATATGTGCTTCAAGCATTAAGGTGGTGTATGTCCTTTTCTCCATTTACACTGCATTGCGTTTCACTTCTTTTTTCCTTTGAGGCAGAGAGAGCAGATACAAAATGTGGTGAGTGTGTTTCAGGGGCACACCATGTGTTTCGTTGTGCCTGGCTTCAAGGAATGTACTATAACGTTGGACTGCTCACAGATTTACATAATTATCTCCTCCTCAGTTGAATACAGGGCTGTTGTGTTGTATTTCCTGTTACTCAGAAAATTTGGGGAAAAGATTTTTCTGTGTATAATTTTATTTTCATACTGACCTCTATTTTGTTTAAGACCATGTTTCATCTTGAAATCACTTAATTAAAATAAATCTTCTTACAAAATCCACTTTGGAAATCAACTCTTTTATTAAGCCTCTGAATATATTGTAACATTGTTCTTTAAATGAGTAGCTCTTCCCTCTAGATCATTCTATGTCCTTTGCAGTATTTTAAAGCCTTTACAGAAACAACAAGGTACTCTCGGCTTACATCACCTTTTCTAAGTGCCTTCTGGTGGCCTATGGAGTCTGGCTCCATATGTCATAAACCCTAATTTTGGAAGCGGAGAAAGCAAGGATTCTGTGGCTATGTACAACATAATTTGAATGAAAACTGCATTATGAACAAAAACTATGGCAAATTAAATGCATTAAAGCAGCAGATACGACAGTCACCATGTTGGAGAGGCCCAGGCTTCACATGAAAGTCTGGCTTTTGAACGGAGCATCAGAACTGGCAAGGGCATGCTTTGGCAATAACACAGAGAAGCACTGTATTTTTGCAGAGAAACATCTTCAGGGAAGAACACATTTTTCTGTCTTTAATACAAGTCAGTGCCCCACACCAAAGATTTCCTTCATCTTTTGTAGCAGATAATGCTAGTTCCATGAAGAGGTACTGGTCTTCTTTCAGCACTTAGGCAAGGGTTCTCTCCACCGGGACACAGTCCAAAGAGACCCTTGCTCTAGAATGGTTAAATGGCCAACTGTCACTTCTCCTGTGTGTTATATGAACTCTTTGTGAAATCTAATATTGAAGTAATATTTCTATTACTTTAAAACGTTTTGTAGAAAGCAATTTTGTGTTACCTAGCTGCTAGCAAAGTGATGCAAGCTCATTGAAGTCATTGAAGGGGAAATGCTGTGGGAAGAGGCTTAGAGACTTGAGCCCTTTCAGATTCTGCTCTCTGCCATCATTCTTGATGTTAGAGAGTTTATCCAGATCACTGATAACTGACGCCCTGTATTGAGCAATTACTCATTTTTTTCCAAGTCTGTATCCATCTTGTGCTGGGTGACACTGAGGCAGTTGTTGTAAGCAGTGACTGGGTGAAATACAGAGACTTTGCCCATTGAATTGATGATTGCTTTTTGCTCTTATTTCCCTGTACAAAGGTGGTAGGATTTCTGCAGAGATTCTAGCACAAAGAAAAAAGATTTCTTTTTTTGAGCAACTTGTATTAAATAAAAGGATAATTAATTTTGGATGAGAGGGGGTATCTGTATTCAATGACTTGGTCATGGCCAGAATGGATTACTGCAGATATGGCAAGAGGCAGTATGCTGATTCTGAGGGGCTTGTGGCAAAATGTCATTGTGTGCTTTGAATATGTCATGGTTTAGGGTGGCATTTGGTATCAGGGAGGTTGCTTCAGCTAACAGTGCTTTTATAGATGTTTGGGGTATGGGCAATCTCTATAGGGTAGTGATTTGGGGGGGCAGGGGTGTTGCTTATTTTATTCCCATGGAGAGAAACAACACTCAGGGAGTACTGGAGTATCCCCCCTAAGACAGACAGCTTTATGCTATGATCTGAGATGGACTGAATCAGCACGTTTTTCAGCTAGCCTACTACTCTGCGTGGTGGTCTGGTGTGCCAGCCCCATGCTCTTCTGCCAAGCAAATAGCTGTGGGTACTTTGCACAACGGTCATCCACTTTGCAGGCAGATTTGCTCTTGCTTCCTGAAGGCTGCAGTAGCAGAGGCAACATTTACAAGACATGGATCTTTGCCCATGGCTTTTGAACTGCAGGACTCTGAAGATGCTCAGGTAAGGCCTTGTTTTGAATGTGTTGCTGCATTACTTAAGCATGTACAGCCCTGGGGAATGGCTATGTCACAAAGAGGCTTAAAATACTGCTAGAGTTACTCTTCTGCCTTGTGTTTTTTGAGGCCTTTTTTTGTCCTATGTATCAGGGTCTTGACTAGCCAATGTCTTGCCAAAGAAGTTAACACAAGTGAGTTGGAGTGGGCAGCTCAAACATTCTCAACTTCCGTCTGTAAGGCTCTTAATGTTGCGCACTTGTCCCCCACTCAAGTGCCACAGTTACCTGCTTAGAAGGGTAGGTTGCTGTCTATTCAGTCCACACTTCATCAGCCCTGTGACAGGTCTGAGTGAAATCAGCACGTCTGGAGGGAACTGAGCTTCTTGAACAATGTTAACTGCCTAGAACACCTATGGTTCTAATTAACATGAGCTGTACACCACAGCCTGCCTTGCAGATGGATAATGATCGAGAAGAAATAGTTCTGTTCACAAAAGCCTCTAAAGACTGTTAAAAAACAACTTTGTAATTGAGGAAAGCAAGAGAAGAAGTTACTAATAATGGGAATTATGATACTAACACCTGTGGGATAATTAAAAACATAGCAATTAATGACCAGATGTACGCATTAGTAATAAAGTATAGATCATGATCCTTTACTGTGGTGACCTTCAGCCTAGCATTCCCCCTTCTCCACCCTTTGTTTGTCATTCTCTGTGGTGGTGTATCTAAGTAAAATTCCAAAGTCCTCTGGGTGGAGTCCTGTCAATTATACCCTTCTGCAAGTGCCATACATGTTTCTATGGCATTACATAAACAGATAACCACGACTACAATAACATCCATGTCACGGAGCGTTTCTGCTATTTATTTGGCTTTCAGAACTTAAAGGGAAAGTAGAGCAAATCCTGGCCTTGAAAAGGATTGGTGAAGACACACAAGCAGCTAAGGAGGCAAACATAAGCACTGTCATTTACTTCTTGGCACTATGTGTTATAATAACCTAGAACATCTTAATTGTAGTCATGGTTTAATTTCACTCCTGTGGATCATTTGGTATGTTTGGAATGCTGCTTGCTTTTCATACTGCTCAAAGAACACCTTAAAACAAAACCAGTCTTTTCTACACGTTGTATTTGTGTTTGAAATCGCGTTATAATGAAGAAGGGCACAGCCTGGAACTCTGCAAAGATGGTGGAACTCTGTGGGAGAGAGCAGAGATTTTGGACATGTTTTGTCAAAAATATCCACAGCTCAGAATACTAAAACCCTAGGTGTAAGGGAAAGCCAGCAGGAGTTACACTTGCAAATCACCTCTGGTTAGTAGTAGGGAATTCTATTGTGCCAGGAGCACAGTGTAACCATCCCAAAGTCTTCCAAAGACTACTTGCAGTTTTCTCAAGCTGTCTCACCTTCATTTATACTCCTCTAACTAATCTTAATGTAAGCATTGCTGTGACAGCATGACTTGGGTACCGTACTCGCCGTGCACACTGCAATTACCCGTTTCACTGGCAGTGCCGGGGCATAAACAAAACTAACCAGGTAACTCTTAATGATGCACTGCTGAAATTAAATCTGTCGCTCTTAAACTCTTACACTACATGACTATTACTGCCTTTATAGCAAATAAAACGGATGTTTGCAAATTTCTAGGGCAGCTGGTTAGATTGCTTCATGAAGGAAAGCAATCTGACAAACAAATTGCAGCTATTTTAGAACTCTTTCTAATTTTCTTATTTCTAAATCATGCTTGAGGCTATTTTATATCCTCAAAAAGGGTCTTTGCAACCACAAGTTAAAGTCTTTTAACTTTCTTATTTTTCCTTCAGCTCCCTAAAGCCAGAGGCTCTGAATACCCAGTTGCTACTTACATGCATGGAAAAACGTGAAAACCAGGCTCTGTACTTGTAAAAAAGCACCCAAAAGTAGGTTTGTTCCCGTTTGAACATGCATGTGCAAATGTGCGTCCTGGTATATCTTGTTCATTGGTCCCAGACAGTAGTATGGTGGTTTGGGACTTTGTGGGCTGCGCCATGAACGGAACGTAAAAAGCCCATCCTCATCAGTCACTGCTGGTAAGCGCACACAGGGTTTGTCATTGCGGTTGTGGGCTCTGTCACATCCTCAGCTGCGCTAGACCAGAAGCGAAAGGAAACGCTGCAGACTTCGCGGGGCTGGCGCGGTGCAGCTGCCCTCAGCATCATCGCACCCCATGCACCTTGCGCTTCCCGCTGTGCAACGCACACCGATAGCCCTCACTGCAGTGCTGGGACTAGCAGATACTACCGCTGCACCTCGCCCAACCCGGCGGCTCTCTGCACCCTGCGCTCTCTGAGGTGGCGAAACAAAATGGCTCTGCCACAGCTGCCCCGGAGGCGCCGGCAGCCCACGGTCCCCCACCGGCTCCCACGCAACCGGCCGGCGGGGCCCTGCACCCTGGGGAGCGAGGCGGGAGGCAGCCGGTTTGCCCCAGTGAGGTCATGCAAGGCCACAGCTCCCAGCACCGCGGGAGGTGAGGGAGGAACCGCGCCTGGGCCGCGCCGCCGCTGCCCCCTCAGCTCGCACGAAGGCGCTGGGGGAGGCAGCGGCGGCACCTGCCGCTCCCTCCCGCCTCACCCTCAGCCGCCGCCGGCAGCGGCCCCGCCCCGCCCCGGCTGCCTTCGAGGGTCGAGGGCAGCCGGGCGGGGGCGCTCCGCGGTCGGAAGGCGCTCCACCAATCACCGTGCAGAAGGCTGGCCCTGCTGGCGCGGATTGGCTCTCTGCTGCCGAGGTGGGCGGGCGCTGCCGGGGCAGCCACATCTCCCGGGCTGCGCTTTTCAAACGCCGGCTGTGCGGGTGCGGCGGTTGGTGGGGCGCGGGCAGGGCTGCGGCGCGGCGGGGCCCTGGCGGAGGTTGCTGCTCCGTGAGGGGCTTCCGGGGGCCCTGTGGGGAGAGGTGAGTGTGCCCGAGCCGGCGCTGCGGCTCCCGGCCTCGGCTGCCGCGGGTGAGGGCGGGCGGGTCCGGTGGTGCGCTCAGTGGGCGGTGGGAGCTTCGTGCTGCTTCTTCTGTCCGCTCTCTCTCCCCGGACTGCGCTAGCGGGAGTCCCTGTGGGTAGGGTTGGGGTACTCGAGGCCGCGTCCCGCCTGACGTCCCGCACTCGGGCGCGGCCAGTCCGCACAGGGCAAGGTGGAGGTGAGGGAGTGCTGCGTTATCTTTCAGACCCGCTCCGGTGGGCTGCCGCGCAGGTTGCCACAGGGCTCAGCGTCCCCGGCGGGTTGCCTGGTGCCGGCCACTCGTCACACCCGGGAAGGTGCGGGCCCTGCAGCGGCGCGTCGTGCCCTGGTGCTGCTCTTTCCCAAGTCCTTCTTTGCTGGACGTGTTCCTAGTCCGGAGCCAGCACCTGACCTCTGAAATAGTTGAGTGAAGTGACTTTCTGCCCAGTTAAAGGTAGTTCAGGGGTAGGTTTCCTCTTTAATGGGAAGCTTGCAAATTTCAGTGAGATCCGTGCTTCTGATGTTTGTTACTCAAGTACGTGTTGCAGTGTGCAACAGCGCAGGTGTCTCTTTCAATTTTGGAAATAGTGTATTAGAGCTTGTGCCGTTTTTCATAGCTAATCGGATTTGAAGTTGGATCTAGTTCTCTTGAATAGATTATGTGTCTGACTGTGGTTTTCTGCCTGCTATGACTGTATGTCTTTCCTCTATTATTGATGATACCAAGCTATAAAGAGGAGATGGTGTGCTTTACCAGAGAAACAAATTTAATTCAACATAAGACAGTAGTTCTCTTTAATAGTCACTCTTTAAGGAGAATGATTGAGATCTTGCATAGTACATTTGATAATAGCAAGCTCTTAATCGATGAGGTCAATATCTAATATACATAAATCTCTTTATGCTAAAGTATTGCAGTAACAAGATAACTTTAACTGATAAACTGTTTAGTGAGTACAGCTCTGAGGAGAGTCATGTAAAATTTCAGGCACCTGAATCAGTCTCTTACATGATAAGCTGCCATATAACTGGGGAAAACGGAATGCATATTTGTTTTAAGAAACTGTTTCATGCTTCTCATGTGCTACTTTGACGATATTCTTAAACTTCGTGGGGTTTTTGTGGGTTGGCTTCTTTTTGGTCTCCTGCTAAAGCATGAATCATGATTTAAGTCCCAAATAGTTCGAATATGAATGTCCGTGTTCCAAGAAGTGGTAATTTGAACAGTGCTTGATGGGTGCTGGATTATATTTGAATCATAACTAGTTTGAATGCTCCCTCAGAAGTTTCTGATGCTGCACTTCTGTCATGTGAAGACTGGAAGTGTATTTCTGTAAGCTTGTTAACTGTATCTGAACTGTAACTTGCGTGTGATTTCTTTTCCATCACTAGTAAAGGTAAACTTACATAGTAACTTAAAATAAACCATTAATTAAGGAACTCTATCTTGCTTTTGCATTTTGCCTGAAGCAGTGCTTTAGGCCTATAAAAGTGAATGCCAAAACCCAGTATTCTTACTTTTTTTAACAGTAGTAGAAATAGTGTGGGTGGGTGTATCTCCATAATGTGCTGTTCTACTAGTTTATTAAGGTAATTTAATCAAGATTACTACATCATTTGGTTCTAAATGATCTGAATTTGCAAAGAGGATGTTGTCCATTCATGCTGCTTTCTGGCAAATAATCTAGTGTTAAAATGAAGCTTAGATGAGCTCTGAGTGAGTTTAATAAGAATGTGAATCTTCTCACTGGAAAAAAAACCAACCCTCTTTTTCCCCTCTTTGGTTAGCTGTCCCTGCTGTGTTACAAAGACCAAAAGGGAAGGAGTTTTGGTTAAGTCCCATAGCAATACCAGTTAAAAGTGTGAACTTAAAAGAACTGCTGGAAGTCACCAAGAATCCAAGGGAGATTTAAAACTTATTTTCAGGAAGCTTAAAAAAAAAAGTATATATCATTAATAGTTAAACAGTTATTAGCATTTTTACTAGAACTGAAGCTTATGCCTAATATGTTACAGATATGGTCGAGGCAGGGGGGGAAAACTGATTCATCTCAAAAGTTAAAATAATTAAATACAAATCAGTTCATTTTCTTAGCATGCCTTGATTAGTGTTCCTTTCAGATTTTATTTTTACGGAGGTTGAATGTGGTGGTTTCAGGTCACTACTAAACAAACTTAAAGCTGTTGTAGTCTGACGGACCTAAACTCTAGTATCTGTATACTTTCCTGTGCTGAAATTATGGAACACCCAAAACTGAATTGTTTTTTTTTTTTAACAGGTGACTGGTAGAAGTGGGAGACCTGTTCCTGACCATGTCAAGGAGAAAGTTGGAGAATAAAAGCCTTCCTGGCTTGTTAGCTATGTCTCTGCACACACAGATCAAGACAGACAATTTCCACAATTTTTATATGCTTGAATCAAAAGAGTTAGGAAGGTGAGATTAATTCTGTTTATTTTAGTAAGAGGCGTTTCTGTTGCAAGAGAATTATTTGTCCAATGAGAGACCTTTTCTGGCAAGCTTTTATGGTAGTAGATGGGGAATGAAGTATGCCTCTCTTCTTCTTCATTTCCTTCTTTACAATATTCAACAGGTTCTCTGGGGACCAGGAAAAGATACTCTGAGATGCAAGTTTACAGCCTTTTCCATGTCAGATTTAGCCTATTTTCATAGGAATGTAGATCTGGGATTATGTTCCTTTGCTTCCCTCTCTAGTCACAGATTGCCTGCCTTCCAGGTACATAAACTAAAGAAGAGATAACATAGGGTAATACTGTAAGAAAAGAATGGGGATTTTGAGTTGGTTGTTAGGTTGATTTTTTTTTATTTTTTTTTTAAGTTCAGCAAACAAAGACCTTTTCTCTCCCCCTTTCACCCTCAAGCAGTTAGTCTAAGTTTCTAACAACCTGCTGTTTCAGAGTGGTTTTGTAGCCTATTTCCCTTGCTCATGTTTGCAGTAGTAAAATAGGAAATAAAGCCAAAGGAAAAAAAAGACCTGTTGGTATTTATGGTACAGTTTTAGACATCTGAGTCGATGTGTTTTTGAGGTCACTGGGATAATTCATACCTTGAAAATAGTCACTGAATTGGGTGCAAAGCCATGCAAACGTAATGCCATGATTGTGTTTTCAAGCTCCTTGAACAGAAGTGGCATGGCTCAGTCTCACAGTTCTTGTGCCTTGCTGTGCTACATAGCAATCTTTTGTACCTGCAACTGATTTTGTCAGCAGAGGTGCTCCTCTGCATGTGATTTTTGTAAGCTCTTCAGCCTTCATTGCTCTCTTGGGGTTTTGCTTGTTTGTCTTCCCGTAGCATGTGCTTTATCTGGTACACTTCTATAAAAATGCATGTTGCAGCCCTTAACTTTTCTTACCCCTCTGTCAGTTCTAGTTTTAAGTTGTGGGTGCTACAGAAGCAGTTTATATGCACCATCCTCTGTGCTCCAGTATTGTCAAGCAGCTGGATTTTCAGATTATGCAACCTTCGAGATGATGTCTAAAGCAAACAAAAGTATTGATTTTGTGTGGATTCCAAAACGGAGTCTTTAAAGCTTTCTGTACATGCAAAATAAGGCATAACAAAAATAAGTGCCAAAATCTAAAGAAACACAAGCAGAACAGTATGTTTTCCAAACATACTTTTGACTTTTCCTGGCCTAACAATGTCTGGGTTGTTTTTTTTTAATGTTTTAAGTATTTACAACTGTCTAAGTGATGTAAAATTCACCTTTGTAGCTTCCCCAAAAGATTTAACATGCCTTTTCTTTTCACTTGCAATTTTCTTTTTCCTCTTCATATTACTTAGTAAATGGTTCTTTTGTTCTTCTCTACTTAAGCCTCCCAAGTCCCATTTCTTCCTCCCACACCCTTATCTCTTAGGTCCTTTGCTATTTAAGACTGACTCATAAAGCAGGCAGGTTCTGTTTAGTCGGTTAAGTAGTTCTTGTCCCCAGTATGTGGATGGCTTGGCTTCTTTTGAAGTAGTTGAATTTCTGTGGTTTCTAACTTGGGATATCAAAACAACTTGAAATTGTTTCTTATCTCATAAAATTGGGCTATAAAGTGTGTGATGGTTAAGGAGTTACTTTGCAGGCAAGGAGGAGTGAGACCTGCTTTGCATGCTTCAGTGAAGCACCTCAGATACGGCATTTTGCATTTCTTGGGAAATTCCACTACTCTAAAGCAATATGTTTTGTCTAATAATTTTATCTTAGTAATTGGCACACTATAAATGCAGTACAAAGAAATGGAAATTCTTACATGATTGATCTGAAGATACTGCTGACCCTTTAAAAGCTGTTACACTCAGAGCAGCTAGAAGGAAGATATGCAGAAACTTATCAGGGAACATCTCACTGCTCTCATGAAACTCAACCAGTTCTCCTTTTTTTAATTTTAGAGAAACTTTTGTGGTTGATAGGGTGATGTGATGTTAAAACAAGAATGTAAGCTGTGGGGGAGTATCTTAAACTTGGCTGTATTGCGAAATTCAGCTCAATAACTTAAAATGGTCTGCAATAATAAGCTGGTTTAACAATTTTTCACAATTGAGAAAGAACTTGGCCTTTCCAGGCTTATAGATAGTTGCTAAAATCAAGAGTGTGCATGTACCAAGCTGTAAATAGCTTTCATCTCCTAAATTAATTTTGCTACTGACTTTAGAAGTTAACTTTATAAATTCAGTGCTTTAAAAAAGGACTATAAAGGACTTAAAAAAGATCCTATACTAATTCAGACTGAAATAAATGATAGCAAGAAGCTGTTTTGTTGAATATATTTCTGGATTAAGTGTCAGTTTGTACAAATGGTATTTAGCATGGTTATTTGCAAATGGAAATACCATTTTTCATGAAATGCTCCTACCTTTTTTTCATTAAATACTGAAGTCTACAGATTTTTCTCTAAAAAGCCAGACATGACTTTTTTTTTTTCATCACAGACTATAGCAGTAGGACAAGGGGCAATTGGTTTAAGTTAAAATAGGGGAAATTTAGGTTACATATAAAGAAGTTCTTTACTATGAGGGTGGTGAGGCACTGGAATGGGTTGCCCAAGGAAGTTGTGAATGCTCCATCCCTGGCAGTGTTCAAGGCTAAGTTTGACAGAGCCTTGGGTGACATGGTCTAGAGTGAGGTGTCCCTGCCTATGGCAGGGGGGTTGGAACTGGATGATCTTAAGGTCCTTTCCAACCCTAACTATTATATGATTCTTCATATGTTCCTTTCAGGGATTGGGGTGGTTTTGCACCAGAAGGGCAAAACCCTGCAGGGCAACATAGTCCTTTCTACTAAAGGAGCTAATTTAGTTGAAATTAGCTCAGCTCAGATAGCTCATACTGAGCTTCTTCATAAAGTTTGTTTTTATGCTGTGGTAACAAAAAGTATGCATGGAAAAGCCTTTAAAAAAACCAGCCCAGAAGTGTAGATGCTGTTCTTTGTGCACAGTTTCAGAACTGTTTTTAGAACTTTATGCAGTTTATTTTAGCTCTTCAAGCTCTGTTTGTTTGTTTTGGGTCGGGTTTTTTTTCAATCATGTTTTATCATTTGAAAACACTTTGCAAGTATGCAACTAGGCATTTCTGGGAATGCAGAACTTGTGATTATAAAACATTGTTTTTTCAGTTTATAACTTGGCTTAAAAAAACTCCATTTTTTCCCCTATTTTTTTTCATTAAAGGTCAGCTTGGTGTTTTAACTACAGAGTGTGGTTTTCTCTTATAAACACTTCTTTGCCAAAGTACATTTTTGTTTCCATACTGAAACAGTTGGCTCAGAAAGAAAGCAGCACGTTTTGTCTAACTGTAATTGAGGAAGAGTATGCTAAGTACTGGTGCCTTTCTGTTAAGATGTTTCTAAGCATTTTGTAGATGCATGGGGTTTTTTTTTTAGTAGTGTTGCATGATCCATGAGGGTAAATTTTCTTTAAAAGTTCCTTCACTAAAGACTTTCCCTCTGTCCGCAGCATACAAATATGCTTTATTTTCTGTGTTCATCCTCTACATTTCACAAGTTTTTGCTTAGTTTGTTACTGTATCCTGTAGGTACTATAATGTGGATGAAGGTGTTTTTTTATATAGTATTTCCAGTCTGAAGCAAGTCCTAAGCAGCCTGACAGAATCTCATATCTAGCCATGCTTTAAGCAGGAGGTTTTGCTAGACATCTCAAAGAGTCCCTTCTAACCTGGGTTGTTCTAGGTTTCAATGATCCTACATTGAGAATAACCATGTAACCTCATACTCTGATTTAATCTTAGCTAGTCTATATAAAGGGAATTGTACTGGGTCTTGTTAAAGCTTCATCTAGCTTAGTATCCTTTCTGCTACAGTGGCTGAATGTGAATGTCCAGGGAATAGTGTAAGAACAGGCCAATCATGGCATTCCCCTGTTAACTTTTTTCTTGGTTTCCAGTTATTTGTCATGCCTTTTTACTCCTAATGGCAATTTACATACTTTTTATATCCCTTAACATTTTCCCTTTTATTTTGTAGAGGAAGATGTGCTGTGGTTAGAAAATGTATAGCTAAATCCACAGGCCAAGAGTATGCAGCTAAGTTTTTAAAGAAAAGAAGAAGAGGTCAAGACTGCAAAGCAGAGATTCTTCATGAAATTGCTGTGCTTGAATTAATGAAATCTAATCCTCACATAGTTAATCTCCATGAAGTCTATGAAACAGCAAATGAAATCATCTTAGTGTTGGAATAGTAAGTATGCCTTCATCCGTGTCGCACATTTGTAGTTACAAATCTGGCAATATACTCTTTAGTTTTTGCATGAGTTGCCTGAACACCTAGAAAGAATTACAACAGCACAATATTGTGTTAATATTTCATTATGTTATGCTTTGTAAGCTCTTAGGGACTTTTTTGGTATAACTTATTTTCATGTAAATGCAAGAGTTGAATCAATTGGCGTTAATTGGAATCTTTGGTTGTGTATATGTGTTTTGTTACATCCACAGTTAATGAGTTATGTTAATATGGAATAAGGCATTAAACATAGATCAAAATGTATAGTAGTTCTGCACTCAAAACATTTAAAAAACGGACTGAAACATTTTCAGGTTTTTTTGCAAAAAGCTTTTGAAAAATGAAGAGTCATTTTCCTCCTGCACAACCTTCATAGGCTATTCCGTTCTGTTTCAAATTGGAATAGTTTTTGTGCCTTTAAATACTTCAGGTGGGTAATTTTAATTAAAACTTTCCTGTTTAATTTGAGCAGACTTTTTCTTCTGTTAGCTGGATTTTTGTAAAAAGCTGTGATCAATGTTCAGGTCAGGGTGACATGATGGAAAACCTGAATACAAACTCTAGGGTGGAATCATGGTTTTAGTCCTAAAGATTTTTATGCAAGCTGGCCAGAGAGGGTGTTCTTGAATCTAGAAAATGCACAGTGCTTTGATGCATTGTAAATCATACTGCCCCACTGTCCCCCCCCCGAAAACTAGCCATTGTTACTAAATATGCCGATTTCAGAGAAGCTAAGAGCTGAGCATGTCCATGTTCTGTGAATTTTACCTCAAGTCACCACTTGAGGTTGTCTGGTGTCTGAAAAATTACAGTTCTTTTGTGGATTCTGACCTTCTAAATGTAGTGGTTTTGTTGTTTTAAAAGTGTTTGGCTTTTGGAGCTGTTTCCTTCAAAATTCTGTATCTGTTTAGATGTCCCTGTCACTTGTCATTAGCTCTGAAAACAGGTTTAATTGGGGGATTGAATTTGAATTCAAGTTATCTATCATACTTCCTGTATGTGTAAATCTTTGTGTGTAATGTAAGGAACAAAAATGCAGTTTGTGAAACTATTCAGGAAGTCTCTCTCTAGGATTTAAGTTTCTCATACAAAGTATTTGAAGAACTGTTAATGGTGGTCTGCATGCACCATGACAAATTCCTTCTAATCTGCCACAGAATGTAGCTTTTTTTCCTGGAAGTAGGTGATCCCTAACATACTGTTTGTTGTTCCAAGAAGGCTAAAATAATAAATAATGTAGAAGTAAAATCCAGCTGACAAGTTTTGAACTTCTTGCTGAGAGCAAGTACAAGTTCACATAGAAGCCATAATGTTTTTGTGCTTCTGTTTCAGCTCAGTTGTCTTGCTTGTTAAAGGTCTGTAGTAAGACAACTTCCTTACGCTGCAGTGATGTTAATGGTCTATTTTATAGTAGCGTTCAGAAGTCTTGCAGTAAGTGTTCCTGGTTCTTCTGGGATAAGCGAAGGGCTGATTATGCTTTTAGATTCTGTCGTCTGTAGCAGAATATGTATTTTTGTTTGTGTTCTCATTATCAGAACTCTGGATTGGTCCTGTAAAAGAATTGCAAGAAATGAGTCTCTTGCTCATAAAATAGTTAATAAGTATATCCCTTCTAGCTGTGTTTCTTCTGTTACATGTGGCCCCTGGTGGTGTTGGGTTGTTCCTGAGCTGTACCTGCAGGTTCAAAGTTTTGCATTGTGTAGGATTCTATTAGGTTATTTTTCTGAAGATATGTATTTATGTGTGCTACAAGTCATCTGGTGATCTTTCTGTTCGCTTTCTCAGTTGATGCTGAATTTGCTTGTTAATATCTTCCCTGAACTGGGGAGCCAAAACCAGAGTATTGCATTCTAGCTGTGGTCTAGTGAGTCATTTTCCTCAGCCTGCCGGCTATGATGCACTTATTACAGCCCAAATTGCTGCTAACCTTTGCTGCGTTCAGGTTGCTGGCTGTGAGGACTCCCAAATCCTATTCAGCCGAGCTGTTCTTGCTCTTTAGTCATCTGTATGTCCACCCATCCAATCTGTAATGTCATAACTTGGATACAAGAATACTGTGGGAAACAGTGTTGAAAACAGTGCTAAAGTTGAAGTAAATGACATCCACTGCTCATCTACATTTTGTAATAAAGGCAAAAGGAGAGGCATTACTGAGACCTTGCGTAGCTCCAGCAGGTCAGTGACTGTGTTTATCCATGTTGTCCATCATCTAACTTTTTAATACATTTATCATTTTGTGAACAATAAAATTCAGACTTACTGGTAGGTAGTTTTGAGGCGGCTCTTTATCTTTCAGAGAGAGTATCTCCAGGTAGTTAGAGCAGGCTGAATAATTATGTCAAACCAAGCACGAAAGGAAACAGCTGACGCTGTGGCAGAATATAGAACTATAACTAACCACATGCAACATGGTTATTTCCATGCTTCCTTTATGTTGTAATAGTAGGGGGTTTTATAAGCAAACAACAGCCTTTTTCTGAGGAAGACATATTTGACATCCTGTGTAAAAACACGGAGCTTGTCAATCAGATTTGTTGTTAGTGTGGCAATGGTAGATTTCAATGTGACGGAGATGAGTCCTTGTATTTCTGAATATTCTGTGTCTGCCAGAGTTCTGGAAGAACTAACTGACTAGGCAACTGCATATTTAATCATCAGCAGCATACTAGATGTGCTTCCTGGTACCTCTCTGATTTTTAGTCCTCCATCAGAATGGCAGGAGCTAGGGTGGCAAGTATACAGTTCCCTCTTACTCCAGAAATAACCTTCGGCAGCTCTTGACTGTTCATTGTGTTGTAGTTCATGCATTTACACCACAGCCACATAAGGAAAAATAATGGTTTTTACTTGCAAATTCAGACTACTGCTGGGCTTTCTTGCTTTGAATTATTAATGGAACTCATCAAATGGAAGAAATTTTAGATTTGGCTTGAAGAGAGACTTCTTCTGGTGCAGAGTGATAATAGAACTCACCTTCCTGAAGTATCTTCACACTCGCTTACAGGAAAGTATGCTTGACAGTGCCAAAGCATTATGAGGTTGTCTGCCACAAAGTTCTGTTTCATTATCTCAGAAAAGCATAATCAGATTTTTTTTCCTCCTAAGTGCTTATATCATGTGTCTTGGCACAAGGGTGTATTTAGGGGAAAAAAAAGTAATAATAATCCCAGCCTTTCTGGGAAAATGCTTATATATTATATACATTGGTACTATGCATAAAATTTTTCCTCACTTAAGCTTGAAAATTCAGACTTAATATGTAAGTATTCTTGAATGTGTTTCAGTGCTGCTGGAGGAGAAATATTTGACTTGTGTGTCCCAGATCTGGATGACAGAATTGGGGAAAGGGATATCGTAAGACTTATAAGACAGATACTTGAAGGACTTCGCTGCTTGCATGAAAATAACATTGTTCATCTGGATTTAAAGGTGAGGCTGCAGCAGAGGTTTTATTTTAGTACTTTATATTTGATTTAGTATTGTGATAATTTGTTAAATATGTAAGAGAAAATAATGAGAAAAAATATACTAGTGATTAATTCTTTAAAACTTAGTAATAAGTATTGCATAATAGAAATTGATAAGTCATTTAGTAAATTGGTGAGTTTTGCTGCTTATGTTTTAATTAATTGAGAATCAAATCTTTCCTGTTCTAGCCCCAGAATATTTTGCTGAGCAGTGTCAATCCTCTTGGTGATGTCAAAATAGTAGATTTTGGTATGTCTCGGAAGCTTGAGAATTCTGGTGAACTGCGGCAGATCATGGGAACAACAGAGTATCTAGGTATGGAAAAGTTGCTTCACAATCTCTGATGTATGGTTTTGAGAAAGCAGAAACACTTCATATAATGTGCTTATCTACTTATCAGTCATTACTGGAGAAAGAACAACAGGATAGGGCAACATGTTCTCAGCTGTTCTTAGAGTAGACTACAAATATTTCCACTAGAAAAAAACCCACCAAAGTATATCAACAAGTGCACCTCTGATTTCTTGCTATAGTATTTACTGCTGCTGTGATGCACTCTTAAATCAACAGGAAATTTAGGCTGTTGTATTTCAACTCTAATCAAAAGAATTTAACATTAGCATGCACAAAGAAATGCTCTTTGAATGAGGAATGCTGTTCAGTATGATGACTTAATGAGATAAAAATAATCCTTGGAATGGGAAAGATTGCCAGTAGCACTTGGCCCTCTCCGAGGGGCAGATTTCCATAATGATTTGCCTACGCTCAGTTTCAAGACCACTTGAATCTGTAGTCAGCAACTTGTTACCTAGCATATAAGGAAGAAGTTTTTTACTATAAGGGTGGTGAGGCACTAGAATGGGTTGCCAGGGAAGTTGTGAATGCTCCATCCCTGGTGGTGTTCAAGGCCAGGTTGGATAGAGCCTTGGGTGACGTGGTTTAGTGTGAGGTGTCCCTGCCCATGGCAGGTGGGTTGGAACTAGATGATCTTATGGTCCTTTCCAACCCTAACTATTCTATGATTCTATATGCTAACAGCCACCGAGCCTAAAATTGTCTTAGTCATCTGGCTTTGCAGCCTTAGCATGCTGAAGTCTATGCATTCCCCTTGGAAAGCTATACACTTGAAAACCAGTTAGAAGACTATATTATGTGCATGCATCTGATTACAAAATATCTTGGGATTTAGAATATGTACAGAATAGACTTTAAGCTGTATAATGCCTAAAGCGTGCCTATTAGTGTGAACCAATTAAGCATCAGTGTTTCTAATCAAATTGAAATAACATTTTTCTACCCTTGTGGCTTGAAAATAGTAAACTTGATTATTGAAACTGCATGGTTAGATTCATAATGGTTGGCAGAATACCTGCCAGAAATGTAGTGTATGAATATTCAAGGCCACTTGAATAAATACATTAAAGTGTTTTTATTCTCTCCATCTCTTTATCTAGCTCCAGAGATCTTAAACTACGATCCCATTACCACAGCTACAGATATGTGGTAGGTTGTATATGATAATTCATTTTATCGAGGTAGTCATGACCATTTAACATTCCAGACTGGAGCCAGATCCAAACTCTGCAGATCTATCTGGGTTAATTCTGTTGGGTTGACCAGAAGAGGTCGAGCTGGGAGGGGAAGGAGCCCTTGGGATGTAACTTGGGGTTTACAGGAATTACTGTATATGGGTCTGTTGCACACCTAGTAGGGAATACAGGTGGCGTCTAAGCATGCAGAGTCTAGGTATTTGTTCTAAAGGAAAAATAGCTGATTGGATAGTATACTTTGGGCATTAGCTACTCTTGGATGACTTGTTTCAGGTAGCAACTGCTCTTGGACACTCCTCCCTCCCCATTTTTGTATCATTAAATAATTTTACTATACAAATTATAAGTGTTTTAACTTCCTACCTCTTACCTTTAGAGCAGTATCTGCAGAATGTGTCATAAAAAATGAGACAAATGTCTTAAACTGATCCACAGCTTTATTAAGTATACTTTTGTAGCCTATTAATTTTGTGAGCTGTTAGTGTAGAGCTACCTTTGAGATCTTTCCTTAAAACATTTTTGGGCATCTAAATAATGAAGTTTTAAAAGTTGCTGTGATCTAAAATTAACTCCTTGAAATTCTCAGTTCATAACAGCAATTGTATCTGTTTGTGAATGGTGTTTTTTTTTAATTTATTTGCTTGCTTTTTGGAAAAACACACAACCAAACTATTGGTGCTGTACTCAGAATGACAAACTCAGGATACATATTCCCCCCCTAATGAGGACTAAGGTTTGATCTGTCAGGTCACAAACCCATTTTTATTACTGATCAAGAAACTAAGATTTATAATAAATCACTTGATGTTGTTGTACTCATGCTCATGTTCTTGGGGAAAAAATTTCAGCACGAGGATATTGTTACACAACTTGGGATGTCAATTATACAGAAAGATGACTGAGCCTCAGTCATTGTTACTTCATCCAGAATTGTAGTGCAAGATAGACTTTCTAATTCACATGTAAATAAAACCTATCTTGTTGCAGTTCGAACATCCAGAATTGCCCATAAGAGTGGGCTGTGTAAAAGCGGTGTATTTCCTTTTCCTATCAGTCTCAGTGGGAGGAAAAAGTTGTATTGAAAGCAAGCGATTTTCAGAAATCCTTTTACTGAGATACATACATAGCTTTCCTTGTGTGTGTATGTCCTTGAAACACAGAAAACTGAGGTGTCGTGTGATGTTTCTAATTCTCTGACTGTGGCATACATCAGGAAGTTAGATCTGCAGGACAATAAATATATATAGGGTATATTGTTTAGGTGTATCCTAGTAGGATTATTCATTGTGGTTTTTCTTTGTCTCAGGAACATAGGTGTAATTTCATACATGCTGCTGACGCAAGAATCTCCATTTGTTGGAGCTGATAATCAAGAAACTTACCTTAATATATCTCAAGTTAATGTGGATTATTCAGAAGAAACATTTTCATCAATTTCACAGCCTGCCAAAGACTTCATTCAAAAACTCCTCATAAAAAATCCAGAGTAAGTAACAAACCTCCCCCCCCCCGGCAAGAATCTTACCTTTTATGTTCGTGGAGCACCTAGAAAAAATGAATGTTAATTTGGGAGCTTAAGACCACTGATAGGATCAGGCAAGCATTTCACAATGCATTGGTGAGGAAATGATCTCTGGTTCACTCTCTGGCTTTTCTTACAGTCAGGCTTGTGCTTTGAGCTTCGTAATTTGGGTTTCTTTATATTTTCATTCAAAGGACAGCTTACTAACAAATCTGATGAAATATATTCTAGAAAGGTCACATTCTTGGCTATAATTTAACCTTTTATTTTGCAATTTGGAGAGACAAAATGCAGTCTCTTTGATGCTGTGCTTTCTTGTTTCCTGACTTATCTTTAATGCATCTTTCTATTTTAATATGTTTTGTATAAAAAACCCCAACTTGGCAGTCTTCTGACTGAGCAAACAGTCTTCAAGAATACATGGTTCTGCCATGTCCAGTCTCTTAAAAAATGTTCTTGATAAAAAGTACAAAGGTTTTGTTTGTAAGGCATGCTTATGTAACTTTATAGACATTAACCATGTCTGCACTTGCTGCATAGTGTTAAATTTGGATATTTTTTTTTAGCTGTTGCAGCAGCAAATGTAGTGAAAAGCAGCCAACCAAAAAAACCCCACTGCCACATGCCAAAAAAAAACCCCAACCTGAACCCCCCAAAAACACCACCCTAAAAGATATATATGGGGGAATAGTATTTAGTGGAGTCAGTCATGTTCTACTAGGCATGGTCAGCCACTACCAATTATAGTGCTAAGTATTGTCATTAGTGGTGAGACAGTAGTCCCTCTTCTTCAGAGAGCCTGTGGCAAGCAGAAGTGTTGCTGTTTAGTTGAGAAAGAGATTCTTTGATGGGAGGGGACTGTGGTATCTATGAAGTACCTACTTTGATGAAATAAGGACTATATAAACTCATATCTGAAGAGTCCTTTCTGTTTTGGCATCTCATATAGAGGGTTTGTCAACATCTAGAATAATTCTTGAGAACCATAGTATCATGAGGGAAGCAATTATGAGGAGCCTGATTCGATAAATGTTAGTGTGGACCTGGAGGATGTTTGACATTGTCACAGTTACTACTCTACTTGCTTTCTTTCTTCTGGGCATCTTGATGTCTTCGTTATATCCTCAGTAACCTTCCTTCCCATTCTGATTCTTGATGACTATACCTTCTTAAATCTTAAGATAAAAAATGTGTCCTGAGATAGTCAGCTCTGTAAAGTTACAGGTCTCTGACCAAAAAATATTCACATGTTCTGGTATCCTTAAGGACAAGTAGCAGACTCTGGTGTATTTCTAGCAAGTTCTGTGGAATTTAACAATGCAAAACATGATGAAAACTGTAGTAGCGTTATACTAGTTTATCCAAAGGAAAAGTTTGTGTTTTGTTTGGTAGTAACTACACTTTGGAAGGGCTTACGCCACATAAATTGCAAGAGTAAAACACTGCTGAAGTTGGATAGTGTTGATGACACCATGTTATTTGGCCCTCCTTGAAAACTTAATGACTGAATGTACATTAACCTGTTTACAATGGTCTGTGTAAAACATAGGACTTAAAAAGCATAAGCTCAGGCACGTTTATATAGGCAGTGTTGAAAACATTCCAATGGACTATGAATACCAGCTGAGAAACACCTGCTCTTTGTTCTGGTGAAAAGTTAGCAGTTCTGACATTCAACAGTAGGGAAGGCTGTCAACTAAAATTTAGATGCATGTTGCCAATACTTAACTATGGTGGAGTCTAATGTGTTTTGTAGTAGCTGTGGTACTGGTGGAAAACCAGGAGTATTAACTCCTTAGTGCCAATTCTGCATAAGATTTCTTAAGGTGTCAGAGCTATTTAAATATGTTTTTAGTATTTCTGAAATGAACTTAAGGAACTTCACCCTTTTCTCTTTCAAAGGCAAAGACCCACAGCAGAAGCCTGTCTTTCTCATCTGTGGTTGCAGCAAGGGGAGTTCATACTCTTGTGTAGCCCTGAAGAAACTTGCTGCTCTTCTCTAATGCCAGGACACACCACAAAATGGTCAGAAGAGCGGAATGTAAAATCTAGTTGTAATGGTACCTGCAGCAACAAGGAAGACAAAGAGAACATTCCAGAGGATAGCAGTATGGTCTCCAAACGTTTCCGTTTTGATGATTCGTTGCAGTATCCCCAAGATTTCATGACAGACTTCATATGTTAATGTGTAATACAGACTTTTATAAAATGGATTTAGCATAATCTGTTCCTGTGGCGAATATAAGATTATAGCTTGCCAATTTGTGCAGCATTGGCATACGAGAAATGCACTTTGATTCTTTTATGCTGGTGCTTCCTTTTCTGTCCATTGCTGGCAATGGATTTAACTCCTGAAAAACTGGGGTTGGTTGCACCAGTAAAATGAATTATTTTTTTTTTTAAGAAGATTTAATTAAGTATTTTTGCACTTTTCAAGTTTTAGTCCAAAAATCATGCCAGAGTGAACAAACTAAAACCTGAAGATGAGTTTGTTTCAGCTTGAGCTTTGCCAAACAGTGGTTGAATACATGCATGCTTTTATGACTAGCCTTAAGAAATCAGTGTAAGCAGGGAAACTGAATCTAGCTGTCCTACTGGGCTTACTTATGACCATTCTCATCACTTTAAATGGGAGCTGAAGTTGGCATGTTTTGGAAATATGGTACATCTGTTGGGGCCATTTGCAAAACCACTTTCTCTCTAGGATCATTAGTAGTTAAGGAAATGTTTCGGCCTTACTGATCTGGTCCACTTAGGAATTATAATGCATACTCTGTGTGTTTCCCAACAGGAAAATGAGTTGTATTTCTGCAGTGGTGAATAGAAAATGGGTAGATTATCAGTCCTTGTGCTAGTGGTCCGTTGCTTCTTATCAGTAAGTTATATTTGGAGAGGATGAGGGTCCCGTGCTAATCTGAATATTTGATAAAACTAGTGTGCTTTCATAAAACCTCTGAAATAGCATCATCTGCCTATACTGACCTATTCCTCATCTTAAACAAAACCCCCAGCCAAGCAAACAAACAAACAAACTGCAAAAAAAAAAAAAAACAAAACCCAAAGCACCCCACAACCAAACAAGCCAAAAAGCCTCTTGAAGAGTTAAACTGAAAATAACTGGTTTTGCCAGTGAAGCTGCAATTAAAAGCTTTTCATTATGCCCCTGTAACATAGAAGTGCAGTGCATCTTTCAGTCACATATTGTTATCCGTAATAATTTAGCTTCATGCCTGCTCTAAGAAATGGACTGCAGTGTGTTAGTGTTTAAAGACAAACTACTTAATAATTGTTTAAAGCCTTTAAATTTGGTTTGTTTATTGGTTTTATTGTGTTTCGTGAGGGGTTTTTTTTGTTTTTAATTGTATCCTTTTCACTTCCTGTTTCTAGGCTCTGAGGAAATAATGCTTATGTCAATTTCAAGCAAATACCAATCATGCTTTAACAGCCTGAAACTAATACTGACAAGATAAAATCTTAATTGTAACACTGAGGCTGGAAGTCCTTTTGTGTAGGGAATGTATTGAAAGTCTTGTAAATAGTTTAAAAGTAAACAGCACTTTAAAATACTTCTGGGATTTTCCACTCCTCAGAGCTTAGACTTAATTGTCTTTGATTTGGATTTGGGTTGTTTTGTATAATAAAGTATCACAATCTGAAGTGCGCCTGTGGGCTTGTCAATAGGCAGGTTGAGGTTCTGGAACAACATAGGATTGAGGTGAACATAATGAATGGTAAAAGGTTGTATTTTACCTTTCTTCACGCAAGGAAGGAACAGGGTTTTTTTACAAAGAGATTTCAGTGTAAGGTATCACCATAAACCGTGGGGGAATTCAGGACTGTTGTCTTTATTTTGGGTGACACTCGCATTGACAAGTGAAAAGTTCACCGAGATGTAAGGCATGTAAGACTGTTTCAGCTTACTTTGTCAGAAGAAGTAGAAGTTTTCCAAGACTTAATCTTGTGTGAAAGAAGTAAAGAATATATTCAGCACATACGAAGCTCAGGTGCCTAGGTATAAATGAACCACACTGAGTCTCCTCTGTATTACTTACCATGTAACTTTATCAGTAATACTGATAATATATGTAAAGTGATTTTGCTGGAGGCAGTTGCTGAATTGTATTCAGGTACCTTATACCCTTACTTTTCAAAGGCCTTGGCTTTTCCTAGTGGAGTCTTAACCTTTTGTTTTTTCCACCAGCATGGAGTCCAGTTTGAACCGGGTAAATTAAAAATACAAACTTTTGTACATACTGAGAAGATAAATTTCATTTAAGGAAGAAAATAATCAGAAGCTGGTAAGGTAAAGGTAGAAAAGTGTTTATAAAATTGTTACAGTTTAAAATACATTACTGATCTGGAATTGCAACTGGGAAGCTTGTGAAAGTCTTCGTACAGTGGTGGTCTATTTTTAACATCTGAAAAATAAAGCTGAAAACATACGCCAGCACTTTATGACAAAGTTGTTGTTCTTAAGATTTTTATCATGGTATCTGTTGTTTACATTTCTTACGACTTTTGGAGCTAACTTATCTGTAAATTAAAATAAAATTTGTCTTATCCAAGGAACTGAAATTTTGAAGACTTTATTTGTACTTAAAATATACATTGAATCAGATTTTCTTTGGATCAGTGCATTTATTTAAAAGTATTATCGTTCATGCAAACTTCAATTGAATGTAAATACATACATTGTAGACAATTGTTAGCCCATCTTGCTTCCTGCCATATTACTGGGAGTTACCAAGTGTAAACGAGTGATGAATAATATTTTTAAGATGACTGAAGTCATCTCTGTGCAGTTCATGACCTTTTTATATAACAAAAAACAAAATAAACTTTGTCTGTTTTTCAAAACTTCTGTGTTTTCATTTCTTCACAGACTCAGAAAAGGAATTACACTCAAAAGAGGTGGTAACCTTTTGTGGCTTGGATAATGCATTTTCTACAAAGGCATGTTTCATTGACGAAATGAAAGCTTTCTCATGGCTAGAAATGCACAAATGGGCTTTATTTTTAATGAAAGCAATAGTGTATTAATGTGCTTGGTCTGGGGTTGCTTGGTTTGCTGCATTAAGTTCAAAAGTTGCCTGAATATTTATATTCCCGGTATTGCAGGTTCTTACCAGCATACCGCCTGCTTTTTCTCTTTTGTTCTAAGGCATCTAAGAAACTTCTCTGTTCAGTAGTGATTTGAGACAGCTTGATACTTCTGCCTTCTCAGGAAGTCCTTTGAAGGAAGGAGACATGTTAGAAAAATGCATCATCTAGGTAACAGCTGACCACCTTATCAGGACAGTTGTGCTTGTACTCTTGCCAAGTAAGGTAAGTTATTGCTGGAAAAAAATATTGTAAAATTGGTGCAAAGTAGAAGTGTGCAATTACATATTTGTTTCAGAAAGCAATCATCCTGTGCCTTAAGAACCTGGCAGCTGACAGACTTGAAAATACTGTTTGGACCACTGAGCATTGGAGAAGTGAGATACAGAATGAGTCAGTGTGTAGGAAGTCTACCAAATGAATGGTAGCATCGTAACGCTGAACTGCTGAGTCACCTACTACTGTGTGAGAGTATAAGGAAATTTCTTAACTAAAAGCAGGTACATAAGAATTCCTACGTGGTTAGCCCACGTAGTGATTGAGGAATACAACTTTGAGACACAAGCTGAAGGCATCTCAGAAATGAGATTCCATTGCATTCAAACATCTTGTTCCATTTTCATGCTAGTTAATATTTTGCAGTCTGCCATGTGAAACCTCTGGGGAAGAAAAAGGCCCTTCCTGAAACTATTTTTAAGGAAATACCCAAATCTGAGAACTTTAATTGTTGTGCACACAGGAATTATTACAGTTGTTGTACTTTCAGACATTATTTATTTGCTCAAATCATAACGTACTAATCATGCCAGTACTTTGGTTCAAAATTAAAGGATCACTTTTTTCACTTTAAAAAGAAAACATCTGGTCAGGAAAACACTGTATGAAGTATTTTGGCTTATGTTTTGAATACTTTTTTGAATACTTTTGCCTTTGCTTGAAGAGAGAAAGAAATGTATTCTTGAATACCCTAGAATTTAACTGAGGCATCAAGGTGGAATAAAAACCCAACATTACTGAATGTTTCAGAAAATGAAAACAGCGATAAAAATATCACCTATGGCTTCTCCTCCTTCCTGGGTTTAATTTTACTGTCACTGATCCTTTTATTTGTCATCCTTTCACCATTTTATTCTTGTGTTCATATTCTTATTGCTGAAGTTAGATTTAGATTGTTTTGTTAGGTATGACTGGGGGATTTCAGACGAAAGTCATGTTAACCACAGGAAGGCAAAAAATTAGCTTTAAACCATTATTTTCTGCTGTGTCCTGTGGCCTTGGAAATGCTGATTAAAATCAGCTGGTATTGCATTTGTGTTAGTCAAATGGGTTTAACTGGTCACTGCAGGAAAAGAATGAAATGGGGGGGGGGGGAAGAATGAACAGCAACACATGTTTGTAGTTCTCTGTAAGAACATTGTTCTGATAATGAAAAATACTGTATATACAAATCAGATTTTCTCTGTAACATTCCTACTGTTAGCAACCTAACTGTGCCTTTCTTCTTCTAAAGTGTATAAGCATGTGAGCTATTTCCAGTTTCCTAATCAAATGATGAAAAACTAAAATGTCACTTTCTAGGAAAAGGAGTCACAGCATCCAGCAGTATGTGGTGATGTGCTCTAAACATGCTACTGCCTTCTGTAGATAGAGTAGATAGTAATTGAATCATTCAATATTAAACAGAAATAGCAAAGATTTCCCTTTGCATGGTTTCCAGCTAGACTGTTACGTATTATAGCCAGTACAGTGTACAGCTTGTTTGAATCTCCCTAAGATATGTTGAGTATGAGGACATTTCTCATTTCAAAATCAAAACCAGGCTTTGGTACTGTTTTAGAAAATGACTGGGAATTCCAAGTGATGTTGGATTTTCTACAGCTGGACAAAGCAGAAATACCCTACTGTTCTTTGCCTGTGGTATTTTAACAAAGGGACTTTTATGATTAAAACTTGATAGATGGACTCTTATAAAGCTCTATGTACAGTTCACAAGGTTGGTTACAGGCCTGAATAATTTATAGGGATTTTCCAGTAAGCTAACTCTGCTGTAAACTGTAATGCTACCTTTTTTGTACTGCTGTGAGAAATGTAACAAAACCTCTCATTTGAAATTCACAACCTACATAACATGGCAACAGCTCTTTCATATCCTATTGAAATCCAGACCTGGTCACAGTGAAGTGTTAGAAGTCATACACACCATACCAATTTATTTAGATAGCTCAAAGCATCAAATTCATAATGCGAGGAACACCCATTAACTACCAATGAAACTGAAAAAGTGTTTATTTTCTTGTACTCTTTGATATACTGATTGGGGGAGGGGGAGGAGGGGAATAGGCTGTTTAAATCCCAAGTTGATTTTGCACATGATGGCCTGATGCACAGTGCAACACCTGAAGAAGTATTTGTTTGCTGTTGTGGTTTTGACACTCCAGCCCAGCCATTAGAGCTGATGAAGATTTCGCAAGCACAGCTGAGTTCTGTTC